CTCTTGCATTTCCCCAACTTTTAGTGGCTACCAAAAATAATTTTAATGTGACCCCAATTATGTTCTACTGTGAACCTGCCTTTATTATCAAAGATATATGTAAGGCACTAGTACCCTTTACATCACATTGTTTGAATTAAAATCCTGACTCTAGCAATTACTATCAATCAATTAGATGATTTATTTAACTTTAGTAAGTATGGGTTTTTGTATCTTTAAAATAGGAAGACTTCGTATTATCAGCACTATGAAGTTTGGAAATTACATTTGATCATTTGCATAACCTGCCTAATATCTGGTAAATAATCAACACAATTTTTACAGAGTCTTTGCTTTGTATTAATTATCCTGTTCATAACTCTGTTTTATCACTTTAAATTGAAAGAATTGGTCTGTGTCATGGAATTTTAATCTGCAAGGCAGAAACCTGGCTGCATCTATCTCTGTACCATCAGTATGAATAGGCCTGAGTTTTTTGTGTATACCGCCTTTACTTTTTATCGTAGAGCTTAGAGGTAAATTCAACAAATATTTAACAAGTGACTCAGTGCTCTACAAATGAAGCTTTTTTTTTCTAAATTGGTCAAATCCTTTAAAGCTTTTTTCTATCTTGAGTTGTTTTAAATTCACTTAGAAACTAATAACTTTGAAGAACTAGTATAGCATTCTTACCCACCTAAATATCTGAAAACTGAACTGCAAGTGCTAAAGTTTAGTATTTATTTTACATAAATAATATGTATAAAAACATGAATAAAAAATTCAATTTGCCAACATATCATATAACACCCAGTGCTCATCCCATCAAGTGCCCTCCTTAATATAGTATATAATTTAGCTAGCTTTCCACTTAAAGATTTTGAAAAAAAAAAGTCTAAACATAACTTAATATCATTGTTAACCCTAACACTTGTCACGCAAAGTCCTATTAAGCACTTAATTTGCATTCATGGACAATAACTAGATGGCTATGAAAAACAATTATTATAAGATTGTTTATTCTTATCCTTCTAAAGATGTGGCTTCTAAGGCAAATAGTTTTCTATAATGGTGATAATTTATGTGATTAGATTTTTATAACAGGTCATGAAATTAATTTTCATCTTAATTAGTGCCCACAGCAATGATTATATTAATAATCCATTTAGCTAATTGCATTTTGCTAAGTTAGTTGTGTTGCATTTTGGACACTGCTAATATGCCAAGGTCAGCTTGTCTCCTCATCAGTATCCAATAACCAGTGGAAGGTAATAGTGAATAATATAGCTTGTATTTACAAATCCTAGATTATCTATAAACTCATACTTCTTTTAGTGGTATATATCATTTTCCTTAAGAGCCTTAGAGTCAATTACCTCAGTTTCAAGTCATCCTCCCACCAGGATTGAAGGGTTTATTAACCCTAACAGCCTGCTGTAGGCTAACCAAATTCACAGAACACTAATTTGTTAAAGAGAAGGTCAATATATTCATTTAACATGAAGATCATAACTACCTAGATAACCTTCCTCTTGTTTCCCATCAATATATTCCTTTCCCATTAGAAGAAACTTATTTAGGAAGATAAGTTAAGGTCATGAAATTATTTTGAAGAACATGAAGTCAAAAAGAACATGATGGAAAAGAGTTCAGCAAATATTATAAAGCCATAGATCTTCAAAGGCATAAATAGATTAGGCCCTGTTTTCTACTTTAGACAAACTACATAATATATATAAATCATTTAAAAGAGCACAATCACTATTCTCTTTGAAGATTTGTAGGAATCAAAGCACCACCCTTCCATTGAGTATACTTTCTGTTTTAAGACTTTGTAACCTCAGGTGTAAGTTGTAAATGTTCACCTCTGAGTGAAAGAACTAAAGTATTTCCATCTTTCACCATAGGCTATATTATCTATTTAATCACTTTGCTTAATTCTCTTCAGAAGATTTTTTTTTTTAACCTTACTTTTGGTACCTGGCACTCCAGTGGTACCTCCCACTCTCATATCCAAATTTGTGGAGGACAACTTATATTGATTTTAAAGGTAAAAATTTGCCAAATTTTGTTGTAGTTTCTAGGAGTGGAAAAAGATGAGAACAGGGAAAGATAAGGAAAGAGAAGTTACCCTAAAGTGTGGGAGGAGGGTTGGCAGAAAGAATCACAGGACATTTTCAAAGAAAATGGCAAGTGCAGATTTTTTTTGTGTGGGTAGGAAGACTTATTTTTTCCCTAAATTCTTGTTTACTGAAGACTGTATATTAATAGTTAAACCTGTTTGCAATGCAAAATAATATTTAAAAAAATTAAAACATAATCTTTGTATTTCAAGTTTCAGCCTCAATATGCAACATGATTGGAAGCCATCACTCCTAACCTTAAAACAAGAAAAAGGTGAACAAAATGAATATACATATTTTTCTTAAATCAAAGAACTAAGGGTTGCTAACATTTGCTTACTCAGAACAGAAGTTGCTAGAGCCATAAACCAATAGAGACACATAAATGGCGATTTTGATTAATTTCTGGAGGTTTATTGTGGGGGATAAATTCTCTTGTCCATGGCAGGAGAAGGGTAAGAGTAATATTGTGAAACTCATCCAGGGACTTTTCTGGAAACAAGGGCTACTCTCCAGGATACATTACTTTCCCTATTCCTGGGGTAGAGTCTTATGCCAGATGGTTGAAGGCCACTCCTACCATTCCAGCTCCCTATTGCCCTTTTGTATCAAAGGGAAAAAAAATCAACAAACAGCAAAGGAATCAAGGGAACTGGGAATGCAGAAGACAGGAAAGAGAATCTGAAGTGGGAGGCTGAGGGTGGTGGAGGAACACTTGTGAAAGTCCCAGGCCAAAGATACTTAATTTACAATTAAATCTCCAGAAAGAGGAGGTTTAATTGTAAAATTATTGAAAGCTCCCCCTTATCTTCCACACTCTATCACCACATTAACAGGGCTTCAGTATTATCACAATGGATTAAACCTGAAACGGCTATAAAATACAAACTATAAGAAGTAATACTTAGGAAAACACAAAGTAAATATGGGACTCAAAAATAAGGGCACTAAGGAAATTTGAAGTCTCTGACATCTATAGCAAACAATAACACAGCCCAACTCTTAGATTAACATGTATTCTCACACTAAAGACCTATTTTACTCACTTTCCACTACTCAATACTATACGTTCACTTTGCAACAGAAAGTTGCAGGGCATGCTAAAAGATAAAGAAAGAAAATCCCCTGAAGAAACAAAAGCAATCATCAGAACCAGACTCACATATGAGACAGATGTTGGGATTATAATGAGGATAACTTAAGTAAACATAATTAATATGCTAAGAACTCTAATGGAGAAAGTAAACAACCAAGAATAGATGAGTAATATAAGCAAATAGATGAAAACTTAGGAATAAAAAAATGCTATAAATCAAAACACAGTAAAAGAAATGAAAAATAACTTCAATAAGATCATCAATAAACTTGACATGGCCAGAAATCATAGGCTTGAAAACAGGTCAATAGAAACATCCACAATTGATATTTTAAGAGAAAATTAATGAAAACACATATACATCTATGCAGAGGAGAACATCAAAAAACTGTGGGGCGGGATCCCTGGGTGGCGCAGCGGTTTGGCGCCTGCCTTTGGCCCAGGGCGCGATCCTGGAGACCCGGGATCGAATACCACGTCGGGCTCCCGGTGCATGGAGCCTGCTTCTCCCTCTGCCTGTGTCTCTGCCTCTCTCTCTCTCTCTCTCTGTATGACTATCATAAATAAATAAAAATTAAAAAAAAACTGTGGGGCAATTTTAAGAGGTGTTACATAAGCAAAATTGAAATAAAGAAGGATAAGAACAAAATCAAAGAAGTATTTAAAGTAGTAATGACCAAGAACTTTCCAAAAATGTCACCAAACTGTATATCCTGAAAACACAGACAACAAGCTGGAATAAAAAAAAAAAAAAACACATAACAAACTCCTCCACATAGATATGTTATATTTAAATTCCAGAAAATCAAAGGAAAAAAATGTCCTATCTATAGAGGTACAAGAATAAAAATGATAGCAGACTTCTCATCGGAAACCAGGTGAGAAAGAGAAAGATAAAATCAAGTATTTGAAATGTTGGAAAAGAAGACTTAAAGAAATAGACCAGAATTCCATATGTAGCAAATTACCAATTAAAAGTGAAAAAGAGGGGATCCCTGGGTGGCTCAGTGGTTTAGCAGCTGCCTTCAGCCCAGGGCATGGACCAGGGGTCCTTGAATCGAGTCCTACATCCGGCTCCCTACGTGAAGCCTGCTTCTCCCCCTGCCCGTGTTTCTGCCTCTCTCTCTCTCTTTCTCTGTCTCTCATGAATAAATAAATAAAATCTTTAAAAAAATGAAAAATAAATAAAGATTTTCTCAAACAATAAGTGATAGAATTAACTATAAGCAGAACTTTTCTTCAAAACAAAACTTTTGACACAGAATGAAAATGATACAGACTAGAGACATGAATCCACAAAAAGAAAGAGCAAGCATTGTATGATAAAGGTAAAATAAAATATTTCAGACTTTTGGAGAAGATGGTGGAGTAGGAGGATCCTAAACTCACCTCATTAGATAGAACTAGATCACACTCACATTACTCTAAATAACCCCAAAATGACCCTAAGACTAACAAAACAAATTCCACAACTAAATGTAGAGAAGAGGTCATGTTCCAGAGGGTGGGAAGGGTAGAGACATGGTCTGGAACTAAACAGACTCATGAGTCTCTCCTTGAGAGGCAGGGAGTCACAGTGCAGAGAGGGAAGAAAAACCAACCCCGCACACACACCAGGGATCCCACTTGAGGAAGATGAATTCTCATAACATTTGTTTTTGAAAACCAGAGGGGCTGAATTTTATGAGTTCTTACAACCAGCATGAATTAAAAACTGTAATTTAAAAAATCCAGCAGGGCTGGCTGGGGTAGAGCCAAGGAGGGGAAGAGCAAATTGAGTTCCTGCCCTTCAAGATATAGCACAACAAACAAACCTTGCAGATACAGCACAGAAGTGACACTGAAAGCTGCCTGCGGTGGACTGGAGGGAGAGTCAGTTGAACAGATCTCCCTGGAGAAATTCTTCAGGAATGAAGGAACTAGCAGGTATCATTTCTGTTCCCTACCCACCCCCCACCATAAACACAACTGTAGGATTCACTACCTAACTTCCTAGCATTGCTACCTCTCCCACACTGTGCCTCCACCAATCCACCCCTCCAGATAGTCTGCCTCAGTCCTGGCACTGCAGAGCCCCTCCCTCAGAAGACCCTGGTGTGCAGAGCTTGCTAGAACCACTGCTTTGCACTTCCAGGGATCCATCCCTCCACAGGCCCACTTTAGTTCTAGCATTTCCAGGCTTCTCAGGAAGAGGACTGGGAACACTCAAAGCTTGCTAGTACCACTGCCCTGCCCCTTAGCATTGTATGTCAGAAGATCCACCCTCTCCAATACTCTCTTAGGTAAAATCCACCTAGGGTGGTGCCACAGACCTAGAAGTGTGCTAGCAATAGTGAAAGTGGCCAGAACAACTCTAAAGCAACTCCTATTCCAGAGAGAGGGAAACATAATGACATATACCAGTCAGACAGAGGCCCCAGCAGTGGGCTGGTCACAGACAACTGATCTGACTGCAGACTCTGCCCTTCAATAAAAGCCTCTCCAGAAACAACATAGGGAAAGTGCCCAGCAGTTTGGTGCTACTATGTCTTAGGCAAATGCCTGGTCTGACTCAACTTAAGGCCAAGGCATCAATAGACTGGGCCAATAACATCAAAGGACCCAAACATCCAAAATAAGCAAAAAAGTTCATTGAAGCAAACTGGACTAAAGGAAAAAAGCAGCTCAGCCTCATCAGCAGGGTACACACAGCACACATAAGAGACTCCCATGAAGATCCAGGTTCTGTGAGCAGAGGACGCTGCGTAGCAGGACACTATAGGACGTATTCTTCATAAGGTATTATTTTCAAGTGCATAAGACATAGCTATCTTTCATAAAAAACACAAATACAGAGAGTGGGGTGTCTGGGTGGCTCAGCTGGTTGAATGTCAAACTCTTGGTTTTAATACAGGTCATGATCTTGGAGTTGTGGCATTGAGCCCTGCATCGGGTTCTGCACGCAGCACAAGGTATGTCTGGGATACTTTCCCTCTCCTTCTCCTTCACCCTCCCCCTCTGCTTCTCCCACTACCTTCAAATAAAAAAAATCGTAAAAAAATAAACACAAAGAGAGTTAGACAAAATAAAAGATAGAGGTATATGTCCAAATAAAGAAACAGGACAAAATCACAGCAAGAGAATGGAGATAAGTAATATCATAAAGACACTCACTAAAATTGAGAAAAGGTAGAGGACATCAGTGAGAACCTTATCAATGAGAAAAAAAAGAACCAGAGATGAAGAACACAATAAATTAAATTAAAATCATTAGATGGAATAAGATGTCGGCTCAGGAAAGCAGAAAAATAAATCAGCACCTGGAGAAGAGAAAGTAATCAAGCTTGGGAGAGAGAAAAAATTATGAAAAATAAGTAGACTTAATGAATTCATTGAGACCACAACTGTAATAACATTTGCATTAAAGGGATCCTAGAAGGAAAAGGGAAAGTAAAGGGGGCAGAAAATTTGAAGGAACAGGAGATGAAATCTTTCTAAATCTGAGGAAGGAAATAGAAATCAAGATCCAGGAGGCACAGAGATCCTCAACAAAATCAACTCAAGGAAGTCCATACCAAGACAAATACTAATTAAGATGGCATAGAGTAGTTTTTAAGAGAGAATTTTAAAAACAGCAGTTACATACAGGGGAACTGCATAAGGCTATTAGCTGATTACTCAGCAGAATCTTTGAAGTCCAGAAGGGAGTGGCATGGTATATTTAAAGTGCTGAAAGGAAAAACTCTGCAGCCATTACTTTCTGGCCAATAATGCTATCATTCAAAATAGAGATAAAGAGTTTCCCAGACAAACAAAAGTTAAAGGAATTCGTGACCACTAAAATAGCCCTACAAAAAATCTTAAATGTTGAAGTGGACTCTGAGTGGAAAAAAAAGACCATAGCAAGAGTAAAGAAAGCAGGAAGCAAAACAGCAGTAAAGAAGAAAAATGAAAATCAGTAAAATGACTCAAGAAATTAAACTATAACACCATGTAACTAGAACATGGGGAGGAAAAGAGTAAAGAATGGGTTCAAACCTAAGTGACTGTCAACACAGATTATTATATACAGATTATACTATATACAAACCAAATGGTAGCCACAAATCAAAAATCAGCAATAGATAAGAAATAAAGAGAAAGGAATAAAAGTATATCACTGAGGAAAGCCAACTAATTTGAGAAAAGAAAGCGAGAGAAGGAAAGAAGGGAAAAACTACAAAAACAAGCATAAAAGAAGTAATGAAATGGTAATAAGTATATACCAAGCAATAATTACTTTAAACATTAATGGATGAAATGCTCCAATCAAAAGACATAGGATAACTGAATGGATAAAAAACTGAAACCCATCTATATGCTGCTCACAAGAGACTCATTTCAGACCTAAAGTCACATACAGTTTGAAAATGAGGGGATGGAGAAACATTTATCATGCAAATGAATCTGAAAGTCAGTTTAGCAATACTTATATCAGACAGTTTAGACTTTAAAACAAAGACTGTAACAGGATACAGTTAATGATTATACAATTTTATTTTATTAAAATTCAACAAGATAGAACAATTATAAATATTTATAAACCCAACAGGGTAGCACCAAAATACTTAGGCAGTTAATAAATAGATAGTAATACAACATTACTCAGGAACTTTCACACCTGGCTTCCAAAAATGGACAAATTATCCAAACTGAAAATCAACAAGGAAACAGTGGCTTTGAATGACACGTAAGACCAGATGGATTTAACAGATATATTCAGAACACTCTATCCTAAAACAGTAAAATATACATTCTTTTCAAGTGCACGTGAAACATTCTCCAGAATATATCATATATTAGGCCACAAAACAAGTCTGAACAAATTCAAAAAGATTGAGGTCATTGCATAAATGATTCTGACCACAACGCTATGAAACTGGAAGTCAACCATAAGATAAAAAAAAAAATCTAAAATGAGCACAAGTGCATGAAAGCTAAGCAACATGCTACTAAACAATGAATGGGTCAACCAAGAAACCAAAGAAGAAATCAAAACATATTAAGACAAATGAAAATGAAATCAAGATGGTCCAAAATCTTCAAGATGCAGCAAAAGCTGTTCTAACAGGGAAGTTTACAGCAATACAGATCTAACTCAAGAAGCAAGAAAAGTCTCAAATAAACTATCGTTCCATCTATTGAGGCTAAAAAAAAGAACAAAGTCCAAAGCCAGCAGAAGGAAGGAAATAATAAAGATTGGAGCAGAAATAAACAAAATAGAAGCCCAAAATACAATAGAACATATTTAAGAAACCAGGAGCTGATTCTCAGAAAATATCAACAAAAATGATAAACTGTTAGCAAGAATCATTAAAAAAGAGAGAGAAGCTTTGAATTAACAAAATCAGATATGAAGAAGGGGAAATAACTAACATTATAGAAATATGAAGGATTATAGGGATATTGTAAAAAACTGAACACCAACAAATTGGACAACCTAGAAGAAATGAATAAATTCCCGGAAACATATAACATCTCAAAATGAATCAGGAAGATAGAGAAAATTTGAACACACAAATTATCAGCAATGAAACTGAATCTGTAATAAAAACAAACATCAAAATAATAATAATAACATTATTAATAATAATAATGATTAATAATAACCTATCAGCAAACAAAACTCCAGGGCAGGACAGCTTCAAGGGTGAATTCTACCAAGTATTTAAAGAAGAGTTAATATCTTCCATTCTCAAATTATTCCAAAATATAGAAGAAGAAGGAAAATTTCTAAATTCATCCTATGAGGCTTACATTATCTTGATACCAAAACCATATAAAGATACTACAAAAAGAGAACTACAGGCCAATATCTCTGATGAACATAGATGCAAGAATGTTTAAAAATAGTATTAAATTGAATAAACAATACAGTAAAAATTATTCATCACAATCAGGTGGGATTTATTCACAGAATGCATCATATTTGTAAATCAATCAATGTGATACATCACATCAATGAGAAAGGATAAAAACCATATGATCATTTCAAGAGATGCATAGAAAGTATTTGATAAAGTACAGCATCCATTCATGATAAAAGCCCTCTGCAAAATATGTTTAGAGGGAACATACTTTAACATAATAAAGATCTTTTTTTTAAGATTTTATTTATTTATTCATGATAGTCACACAGAGAGAGACAGAGAGGCAGAGACACAAGCAGAGGGAGAAGCAGGCTCCATGCACCGGGAGCCCGACGTGGGATTCGATCCCGGGTCTCCAGGATCGCGCCCTGGGCCAAAGGCAGGCGCCAAACCGCTGCGCCACCCAGGGATCCCCATAATAAAGATCTTATATGAAAATCCCACAGGCAATGTCATATGCAATGGTGAAAAACTAAGAGCTTTCCCCCTAAGATCAGGAACAAGACAAGGAAGTCCAATTCTCACCACTTTCATTCAACATAGTATTAGAAGTCCTAGCCACAGCAATCAGATAGAAAAAAGGGATAAAATGCATCCAAATCTACTAAGAAGTAAAACTTTTACTCTTTCAGATGACATAATACTATATATAGAAAACTCCAAAGACTCCATCAAAGAACTACTAGAATTGGAAAAAAAATGTATTCAGGAAAGTTGCAGGATACAAAATCAATGCACAGAAGTTCATTGCATTTCTATACACTAATAATGAAGCAACAGAAGGTGAAATTAAGAAAGCAATTCCATTTACAATTATACTAAAAATAATAAAATATCTAAGAATAATCATAACCAAGGAGGTGAAAGACTTGTGCTCTGAAAACTATAAAACACTGATGAAAGAATTTGAAGAAGACACAAATAAATGGAAAGATATTCCATGACCATGGATTGGAAAAATAAATATTGTTAAAATATCCATACTGGGACACCTGGGTGGCTTAGTGGTTGAACGTCTGCCTTCAGCTCAGGGTGTGATCCCAGGGTCGGGGTCAAGTCTCATAATGGGCTCCTTGCAGGGAGCCTGCTTCTCCCTCTGCCTATGTCTCTGTCTCTCTCTCTGACTCACATGAATAAATAAATAGAATCTTTTTTAAGATTTATTTATTTATTCATGATAGAGAGAGATAGAGAGAGAGAGACAGAGAGAGAGAGAGAGAGAGAGAGAGAGACACTAAATAAATAGAATCTTAGGGGCAGCCCTGGTGGCTCAGCGGTTTAGCGCTGCTTTCAGCCCAGGGCGTGATCCTGGAGACCCGGGATCGAGTCCCACATTCAGCTCCCTACATGCAGCCTGCTTCTCCCTCTGCCTGTGTCTCTGCCCTTCTCTCTGTGTGTCTCTCATGAATAAATAAATAAATTAAATCTTAAAAAAAAAGAATCTTGAAAAAAAAATGTCCATACTACCCAAAGCAATCTACAGATTTAATGCAATCTCTATCAAAATACCAACAGCATTTGCCACGAAACTACAACAAATACTCCTACAATTTGTATGGAATCATAGAAGACACAAATAGTCAAAACAATCTTGAAAAAGAAATCAACAGGAGCGAGTGGGTGGCACAGCCAGTTAAGCCTCCAGCTCTTGGTTTTTGCTGAGGTCATATCTCAGGGTTGTGAGACTGAACCGCATGTCAGGCTCTGCACTCAACACAGAATCAACTTGGGATTCTCTCTCCCTCTCCCTCTGATACCCCAGCCCTATTTCTCTAAAATAAATAAATAAATCTTTAAAAAAGGACATCAACAAGGCTAGAGGTATCACAATACCAGATTTCAAGTCATACTACAAAACTGCAGTACTCAAGAATACTGGCACAGGGACACTTGGTTGGCTCAGTCAGTTAAGTGGCTGCCTTCAGCTCAGGTCATGAGTTCAGTGAGGTCATATGATCGAGGCCCATGTTGGGCTCTTTGCTTAGCAAGGAGTCTGCTTCTCTCTCTCCCTTTGCCACTTCCCCTGCTCTCTCTCTCCCCCACCCCCTGTCTATCTGTCTCTCTCAAAGGAATACATGAAAAAGTCTTAAGAGTAGTGGCAAAAAAATAGACATACAGATCAACATAACAGAATAGAAAGCCAAGAAAAAAGCCTTACAAAAGAGGCAAGTATATGTAATGGGAAGAAGACAGTCTCTTCAATAAATGGACTGGACACAAAAATAAATGCAAAACAGATTAAAGACCTAAATGTGAGACCACAAAAATCCTTGAAGAGGTATATCTCCTGAGGCAAGGGAAATAAAAGCAAAAATAAACTATTGGGACTACATCAAAATAAAAAGCTTCTACACAGTAAAGAAAATAATCAACAAAACTAACAGATAAACAACTGAATGAGAGAAGATATTTGCAAGTGACATATCTCATAAGGGTTAGTGTCCAAAACATATAAAGAACTTCTAAAACTCAACACCTGAAACCAACTAAACAAATTTAAAAATGGGCTGAAGATGTGAACAGACATTTCTCCAAAGAAGATTTATGGGTGACCAACATATGAAAAGATGCTCATCAGGGAAATACACCTTCATCAGGGAAATACAAATCAAAACTACAGTGAGGTATGACATCACATCAGTCAGAATGGCTAAAAATTAACAACACAAGAATTAGCAGGTGTTGGCAAGGATGTGGAGAAAGGGGAACCCTCTTGCACTGTTGGCAGGAATGCAAACTGGTGTATGCACTGTGGACCATAGTACAGAGGTCCTCAAAAAGCTAAAAATAGAACTATCCTACAATCCAGTGTAATAACACCACTGGATATATACCCAAAGAATATGAAAACACTAATTCAAAAAGACTTATACACCCCATGGATATTGCAGCCCTATTTGCAATATCCTATTACAGAAACAGTCCATGTATCTATGATAGAGGAATGGATAAAAAGTAGGTCATATATACAATATATTACTCAGCCATAAAAAAGAATGAAATATTGTGATTTGCAACAACACAAATGTAGCTACAGGGTATAATTCTAAGCTAAACATGTCAGAAAAGGCAAGTACCATATGATTCATATGTGAAATTTAAGAAAGAAAACAAATGAGAAAAGGGATGAAAGCAAATGAGAAAGGGGATGAAAAATAAAGACAAACCAGGAAATAGTCTCTTAACTCTAGAGAACAAACTGACAGGTATCAAAGCGGAGGTGGCTGGAAGGATGGGTGAAATAAGTGATGGGAATTAAGGAGTACACTTGATGAACATTGAGCAATGTATAGAATTGTTGAATCATTATATTGTATGCCTGAAACTAATATAACATTGTATGTTAAGTGTACTGGTATTAAAATTCAAAGCCAAAATTTAATAGAGTTTGATAAATAAATAATAAAATATTTTATTTTTAAGATTATTAATAATAAAATATCACTGTTGGTTTAAACTAGTGTAGTAGCGTTTTCCTAAATATATAAATATACTCTATTATATACATATATTTTTATACATTTGTAAGTATATGTAAATATAATTAATTACGTGTAATTTATATATTTTTATTTTAGATGCTATTATATATATAATATATAACAGAAAGAAAAAGGAATAAGAACATAATTAATAAAGTATACCAAGGTACACTTGAATGATTATAGTATATGGATGATTATGTCTTTCCTAGGACAGAGTTTATGGTCATTTCCTCTCAAAACTGCCAAGTCTGTGCATATACACTTCATCTTTTCACTGTCCACTTGTATGTCAGGTGCCAATTATTATTTTGAAGATTTGGCTAGAAATTCCTTTACAAATAATTATTTCACATGCATTATCTGAGAATCATCAGCATACCTAGCTCAAATATCTCTTTTTTAGCATTCTCCTAAATTCCTTAGTCCTCTTGGTAAATATCATAGAATTTAACTTTTAATACGAAATAACTATCCAAGAAGTCCTTGTCATACAATTGAAAATCCACATTATTTTGGTCAGATTCTCATATCACATCATTTGGAATCATCCTTTAGTGTCCTTATACTGGTTTCTAAAGGCCCTGGGCACTACTCAACTCTGTAATGCCTATGAAAGATTGATTTGATTTGTCCTCCTGCTCATATCATTTGAGTAGTAACAATGCAGTGATCAAGAGTGAAATCTACATCTTTAATTTTCAATAATCCATGTGCTTCCACTTCCTAAATGTTCATTGCCAGTAAATGAAATGAGTGTAGCCCTAACAATTTTTTTTTTTTTTTTTTTTTTACAATTTAGATCAGACTCAAAAATACCTCAGCCTGGAACTCCTGCCCTTCAGCTCATTTTACATTGAAGGCCATTATTCTATATGAACCTGCGATGCTGCAGAAGATACAAGACTCCCAGATCAAAGACAATGTGATTTATTTTTCACAGTAGCTCACAGCATGAGCTTCATGTTCACACTGACTCCCCTTGTGCCCTAATTCTCACAGAGGCAACAATGAGAAGCCGACTTTTCTATAGTAGGATGTGGCACCTATTATAAGATAATAGGCCATTTGATCAAATCCATATTGTTAAACATATCTTCATACAGTAGCTTTCATGAAAAATCACCATCGTTCATATTATAACTAGATTATCTATTGTGCTAAGCCAGCAGTTTCTCATCTTTCCCACCCAGTCTCTCACTACCTTAAGTGAAATATATGGAAACCTCACAGGAAAGTTCTTATCTCTCTATATGAAATTTTATCCTAAAAATCCTCCATTAAATCAGCACTTCGATAATTCAACCAACTGTTCTTTATTTTTAAGAGATTTTTTCTCAATATATCCTTACCATTCTATCTATGTGTAAGAGGCCATTGAAAAGTCAGGAATTTAACTGGTCAATAAAAGCAATTTACACAATTCATCCCAAGATGTAGAGTCTCCCAGTGAAGGTCATAAGCTTCATAAGATTTGTGTATGTATGGCCCACTCATTTAAAAGAGATCAAAGGGGAAAAACTAGAAAATCATACAACAGAGGAGAAAAAAGTGATGAGATTAAAAGTGTCTCCACAGACCCAACTCGTGTCTGCTTCTGCATATTACATTTAAGTTAATCTGTATTAATTGCCTATTTCTGTGTATCTCCTGTGACTTTCTGAATTATCATATATTCAAAGTTTCAACTTAGTAGTAGTATGTTGTCATGCTAACTGATGCTGTGATTTCAGATACAGACTTCTGTGGATTTTGATTGTTGCCTACTTCTTACACGATAGGCAAGTTACCTTACAACATCTTTTAGGGAATTACAATACCAGCAATGATTCAGATGGGATAGTGTGAACTAGAATGAAGACAAGTAGAACTGCAATAAAGAGATTCCAGGCTTGAGTTTGATGCTGCTAAATGTCTAAGAAAAATTAGACTGCTCAGGATAGATTTTTTTTTCCAGAATAGAATCTATTTGAGTGATATATGTTCTTGGCATTTATGATATCTCATTGTGGATTAATCAACTAGGATAAATTTAGAATAGCATGTTAGAAATGCAAACAAATGTTAGAATCCGAAAATTGAGAAAAATGATGTTAATTTTATACCTCAAGATTCTGGAAAAGGACAAATACGAGGATTGGAGCAACCCAAAGTAGTATGTGAAAATGTTCAATGTAAGGTTAAAAAGCATGAGGTCAATAAAAGATTCGAGGCCTTTGGAAAGCTAAGAAAAGAAGTTAAGAGTGGATAAAGACTGGAAAATACATCAAAAGTAAATTTCAGAAGATTTTTAAGGCAGTAAAAATAGTCTGCATAATACTACAATGGTGGTACTTGTCATTATACATTCCTCCAAAACCATCAGATGCATAACACCAAGAATAAACCTTAATATAAGCTAGGGGCTTTGGGTCATTATGATGTATCAATGTTGGTTCATCAATTATAATAATTATACTACTCTGGTGGGGGATGTTGGTAAAGGGGGAGGCGATGCATGTGAGGGAAAGGGGTATATGGAAAATCTCTGTACTTTTCTCTTAATTTTTCTATGAACCTAAAACTACTCTTAAAAATAAAATATTTTTAAAAATGACTAGGATTTTAGAAATTATAAACACATAAATTTTTCCAGAGGGATAGAAAACCTGCTCTAAATGCCTATTACTTTGGCCCTCTTAGACCTAGAAACTGCTGTTCCAGTGGTCCAGTAGTCACAGATTCCAACATTAGGGGGGACAGACAATGGATCACACCTCTCAATGGCAGGAGTCAACATGACTGGAATGACCAAGAATTTGTGGCAATATTAAAACTGCTGCAGAAATTATATTTTGGTCTTCTGTTGAAACATATTCAACAATTTATTTAGAAATAAAGAGGACATATAGAAATAGATTCAGTTAGGGAGCAGGGAACTAGCTATGAATTTATTGTTATAGTCCATGCAGAGTAGTGATAATGAAAATAAGGATGGTAAATGAGGATGGTTAAGTGGCAATCATGTGGATATTGAGGAGGTACATTCACAGAATTTGGTAATTTATTGTACAATAGAGGGGGTGTAATTGAGAGATCAAAATCTGAGTAAAGTGGAATGAATGTGGTGTCTTTCATTAATCTTGATGCACTATGCAAAATGAGACACGATTTGAAGGAAGGAAGCTACATAATGAGTCAGTAATGTGTATGCTTAGTGTGAAATGGCTTTGATAAATCTAGATGAAAAATGTTTAGTGGAAAACTGAAAAAAGTAGACTTAGAACTCAATAGTTACATATTTACATTTAGGAGTCATCGGTGTTTAGGATGTAAGTAAATTTGTGTAAGATTTATCTTGATGAGGATATGTTATGGGGACAAAATAAGATTGAGACTAAAAAACCAAAAAGTTTTACTTTAAAAAATTTTTTTTTACCCAAAATCTTTTACTTTTTTAAAAGTATGACAAGAAAAAAAATATCCACTGATAGAAACTGAGAAGAAATTAAGCAAAAGAGGAGAGAGGTGTCCTCAGGACACCAGGACAGCCAGGACAGGAGAGACTGAGAAGAGGCAAATGACTGTTCATGCTGAACTTTTTAATTTGTAAGGTGTAAAGTACTTTGGCTGGCTCCCTTAAGATTTTAAAACTAGGCTCCTTAAAGTTGTAAATAAAAGGAGCAAATATCAACAAGCAGTACAAGAAATTAACTTTATTGTTCTTCCTTTTTCTCTAAGATTCATCTTTTCTGCCATTATTTAAATTGGACTTAAAGACAGCATTTTCTTCCCCTTAGCAATCTGTTCCACGCCTGTAAATCAGAGACTTTTCTTACTGTATTGCACACAGTTGAAATTTTACTAAGCTTTACTAAAATTTGTGGATTAGGAAAGGGTAAATAGGTACAGTTTATGATAAGCAATTAGTTAATCTTTTAGTTTACAGCTCACAACATGACAACTTTTCTGCTTAAGACTCTATGTGCTTTTGTGTAGCAGAAAATAATTTAATTCCCAATAATAGAAACAATTTTAAATACATCCTTATCCTCAAAACCTCAGAGGTCTTCTACTTCTGCCTAAGACCCATCTTCCAAAACCAGATTTCCCATATGTGGCTCAACTTAATGATCAACAGTGATGATTGCTACGTCAGAGTAACTTCAATAAGCCAAGTTGTAGAAGGAGCCACGATGTCCTTTGACAGATGAATGGATAAAGAAGATGTGGTACACACACACACACACACACACACACACACACACACACAATGGAGTATTATGCAGCCATCAGAAAGGATGGGTACCTACCATTTACTTCAATGTGGATGGAACTGGAGGGTATTATACTGAGTGAAATGAGTCAGTCGGAGAAAGACAATTATCATATGGTTTCACTCATATGTGGAATATAAGAAATAGTGGAAGGGATTATAAGGGAAAGGAGGGAAAAACTGAGTGGGGAAATATTAGAAAGGGAGACAAACCATGGGAGACTCCTAATTCTGAGAAACAAACAAAGGGTTGTGGAAGGGGAGGTCGGTGGGGGAATGGGGTAACTGGGTAATGAGCCCTGAGGAGGGTACTTGAAGGGATGAGCATTGGGTGTTATACTATATGTTGGTAAATGGAATTTAAATATATATTTTTTAAGGAATAAGCCTACTCAAAACAGCACTCTGTTAACCTGTATTCCAAGCACTCTGCTTCCTCAGAATCTCTTATCATAAAAAGTATCCTATAAATCTGTGTTTATAACATCAAATTAAAGATGGCTTGACTGGGCAGTCTGGGTGGCTCAGCAGTTTAGCGCTGCCTTCAGTCTAGGGTGTGATCCTGGAGACCCGGGATCGAGTCCCACATCAGGCTCCCTGCATGGAGCCTGCTTCTCCCTCTGCAGTGTCTCTGCCTCTCTCTCTCTCTCTCTCTCTCTCTCTCTCTCTCTCTCTCTCTCTCAATCACCCTCTCCCCGCTCCGTGTCTCTCATGAATAAATAAATAAAATCTAAAAAAAAAAGATGGCATGACTGACATACTATTAAAATGCACATAATTATAGAATAATATTAAGTAAAACATATTTTATAATAAAATACATATTTTACTAAATTAATGTCCAGCATGAGCTAATTAGAAAGTGTAATGAAATAGCTAGTTGCATGCCCTCAGCATAGAATCACCATGAAAGTAATAACTGCAAATGCAGACTGGTTCATATATGTGTTTGGTATAACTTATATACAGTACCGTGAGTGGTGTTATGGTTGGTGACACATTTTTATGAAATGTAACAGCTCTTGGAAGTCCTGAACAAAGTCAAATATCTCCCTCAATGTGCATCATTATTATCATCTTTGGAATTCAACGTACCTTAAAGAGATGGAAAATTACTTATGTTTATATATAGAAAGAATTAGGTTTTGAGTTCATAATTTGAGGAGGAGTTTTTCACATACATGATTGTCCAGTGGGGAATTTACCTTAGTTTGTAACAACCGGATCATGTACAGAATTTCCTGTGCTCTACAATAACCCAAACAACCCTCCACCTACTGCCAACAGTACTCCCCAATCACTGTAATGACAATATTACCTTCTAAATTCCCAAAATGCTTCTTAGAGAGTTTTACATTATCATGGAAAAGCTATGCCTTTGAGCTTCAAATCTGTCAGAAAACACACTATTATCACTAGAAACTTGGCCTTAATTCATAGTCTCTATATAACAGCTGTGTCACAATACAGATAAATGAGCCTAATATGCATTCAAAAATACAGTAAATGATGAAAAGGCTTCTTTATTGAGAGCACGGATGATATTAGCAACAGTGCATTTGAGAGAATAAAAGGAGAAAAAAATGAGATTTCAGCCAGAGAAATCATATTTTAAAAGCCTAGGTAATATAAGTCAGAAAAAGTGTATAAAACTCAAGCATATGGGCAGCCTGGGTGGCTCAGCAGTTTAGTGCCTCCTTCAGCCCAGGGTGTGGTCCTGGAGACCCAGGATTGAATCCCACATCAGGCTCCCTGCGTGGAATGGAGGCTGCTTCTCCCTCTGCCTATGTCTGTGCCTCTCTCTTTCCGTGTGTGTTTATCTCTCATGAATAAATGAATAAAATTAAAAAAAAAACCTCAAGCATATTGTTTAGGTGCAGAAGAAAAAGAAACTATTCAACATTTTCAAACTGGGTGAGGCAATGCTAATGAAATTTAGGCAAATTTAAAATAATGATGTAAACATTTCCTGGAAAAATGTGTACTCAACAGAAACATAAACTTAATTTTTAAAATGCTGTATTTTTCCATAAAAGAATAAACTGCTAACTTACAATTTTCCTGCTTCACTGTCTTTAATTTGTTTTTTTCTGTGCCTGGCTAAACTCCCAATAGTATATGTTTGGTCTCTTTCTGGTCAAAAAAAAAAAAAAAAAAACCTTCTTGAATGCATTATTTTTAAATAAGTGCTTCAGGAAAAAAAATACTTACAAATTGCCAAATTCATTTAAAATTGCACTTCTCACTTTTTAGTTATTAACAAGCTTGTCTAATTTAACATTTGAAAAACTGATGAGCAGGTTTTCAATTGCTCTGTTTCGGTTATTATTAAGTATAGAACTCTAAGAATAGGTTAATCTTCAGCATTTATTCTTCTGTAACTTGACTGTCTAAGGATAAATCATTAGTAATTCTCCTGAGTTCACTCTCAGTTCAGTTGTTCACCATTGTAAACCGAAAATGAGAAAAGGTTTCTCAGATAAATCATTTCAGTGTAATTACTACTAAATGGTAGGCTGTCTACTTCTGCTGTTGGGTCTACTCTGGTAGAGAGCTGTCTTAAAAGTTAAAGAAATAGAAACAAAAACAAAACTCACCATGTATTCATTGCTTATTAGAGATAGTGATCAATTTTTGACTTGGATCATCTTATTTATTTTCTGTAACAACTTTATGATCTAAGTATCTCTATTAACCCCCTAAGTGATATTTAAAACACAGAATATCTGAATTCTGAATCCAAATTACTTCGAAGTACGCTCCAGATACTATGAAAAAACTTTATTGACTATGAAAAAATTTTAGGTTCTTCAAACCTTTTATTTTCTTATATTTCAATGTCTTCTTAGTTTTGAAAATAAAGCAAAAATAAGGTAAATCAGTAAGTACCTAATGTGTTCCAAGTTTCTAAAACAGCTGTTCATACCATAGGGAACATAGTCAATGATATTGTATGGTGACAGGTGGCATCTACCATTGTGATGGGCAAAGCATAACATAGAGAAGTTTGAGTCACTATGCTGTACACCTGAAATTAATGTAACATTGTGTGTCAACTATACATAAAGAGTAAAATAGTATTCATTCTTTTTATCCATGTTCTTTTCTGGGAAACATGTATTCAATGACTATTTTATGTCCAATTTGTCCTTATGTCCAGTTCTTTAGTATTTAACAATAGCTTTTTCATGATGT